GGTCCCTGCTCGGTGAAAACGGAGACAAGAAACAGGTGGCAAATATATCCCCTTGTGGTCTTGGTTCATTCAGCTCACGATGGTTCTGACTTTCATTCACTCAACACGTATTTATTGAGCACTTCCTGTATGCCCAGCTCTATTTGAGAGCCTCGGATCATGTCAGTGAGAAAAAGCAAGGTCTCTGCCTTGGAGGTGCACACATTCTTGTGGGGCTGTGAATCCATCTAAGCTCCCTAAGGGAGGGATGGTACCCTCGTTCGCCAGCGCATCCTCGGGGGCCAGCCTGGAACCTGATGTGAAACATTGCTCAATAATTGTTGAAATAGCCTACTGCTTAAGAGTTTCGTAAGTACTAGTTGGTAAGAAAAAACATGGAAAAAGGCAAATGATTTCTTTGCTGTAAGAGATCTATTGTGTTAGCGTGTAACTGATCTTCAGTCACAAAATTCTTAGTCACAGAGGAGAAAAAAATACTGAATGTACTCCAGCAAGGGTACTTTTCCCTCATCACCCAAGAATTTGACATCCGCTAGAAAAAGTCTTTTATTCACATCACTAATGTGATGTTTGCATGATAATGACAGGCGATACTGAGTTTAAGTGTTTTGTTGGCCTGGGTCAAACTTGGAGGTCAGAAGATAATTTGGAAGGACAAGTTAAAGGGAGGAATTGTCTTTTCCCACCCAGCTCCCAAGAAATGAAAGAAGGAATAAAAAAACGTACTGTGCTGGCATCGAAGTTCCACCCCTCACAAGCTGAAACAGTTCTCAAGTCCTGAGTTTCTCCCAGCCTTGGTTTTCCATTTTGAGTTTAGAGCTCAGGCTTCCGCCCCATGTACATTTCCCCCTTGGTTTGATAGTACAGAGGGACAGGTGACAATATTAAAGAGCTGAGAATATTGTTCAGAGTTGTCAAACAGAACAGGACAAAACCAGGCGCTGCTGGGAGCTTGCAGGTAAGGATGTACATTTCGGAGCCCAGCCTAGGAAAACGCTGCCGCAGGGCCGGAGGGGGGACTGCAGCCCGTGGCCAGGAGGGAGGCTCAGGAAGGAGGGCAAGTGCTGGAGCATCAGTGCCCTCCCTGGGTGTCCTGACGGCCTGTGGGGGCCAGTGCTGATTGTCAGGAAGTCATGCTTTTGTGCTGACCAAAGGGCCAGCAAAGAAGCCCTGGTAAGGAGGAGGCTCGGCAGCAGGAGGATGAAAAGAAAAGGGAGGAGAAGAAAAAATGGAAGTAGGTCAAGGGAAGAGCAGAATATGTCACTGTGAAAAGTGGTAGGCTTTCCCACCAGAGGGGAGACAGGGTCTGAACAAGACCAAGGCTGTAGGACACTGGCCTGAGCTCTCCCTGCCAGCTTGGGGACAGACAGTGAAATTCGTGAGCGAAAGCAGGGTTTTGCCTGCCTGACAGGTTGAACAAGCAGCTGGTGCTCCGGGGACTTGCGGGCCCTTTGCTCCTTGGTAATAGCGGAGCTGTTGGGATCCTTTCCACGTGGAGAGTAGTGCACCCAGCTCAGGAAGCTTGCCAAAGCAAAGGCAGGAGATGAACCCCAAGTTCTGACAGCTTGCCAGAGTGCCCGCTGCTCAAATGCTGGCCAGAACATTTGTTTTGAGAATAGTTTACCATAATGAATTCTGACATCATTGCACTCTCTCAGTCAAGGGTGTTGAAATGGAATAAATGACCTAATGTCAAGGGTCTGTGGAAATCCTCAAAACCAGGGAGATTCCCTTGGCTCTCTTGTCTTCGTTTTGGAGCGGGGATTTTAAGTAACAGTTCATTCTAGATATTTAATGGATCTCAACATTTTAAGAATAAACATAGTTTAGAGATACGAAGGCAATCATGTGGGTTTTGTTTACTTCCCTCAAATCGGGTTATCTCACAGCGTTTGGAATATAATTCGTGCAAATTAATTTCTATTTTTCATTCCTTTCTATCATGATTATGTAGCTTAAAACAAATTTTTGTCCTGCTCTCATGGTAACAGTGGAAGTGATTAGTTGGATAAAATTATGTGATTAAAAAATGTTTGATTCGTATAGGACTTGCTGAGAATTGTGTGTTTTTGCATTTGGGGCGCCTTAAAATGCGCAGTCTCTCACCTCCGGTCCTTTCCTTGCTGTCAGGTTGTGCTGCGGCTGGGCTGGATCGGAGCACAGCTGTCCTTCCCTGGGGCCACCGTCATTTGAATAGGCCACAGCCTTGGGCCTGCTCCGTTTAGGGTTATTGTGGATTCTTTGTTTGCAAGCAGGATTCTTCCCAGCTTGAAGAAGAATTTGATTCTGAATCCTAAACTCTTTCCAACACTAAACTGTAAACAGTTTGAGAAAAACTCACATTAGCTTCAAAGGCTGCATTGGAAATACGCTCCCAGTTGCGGTTTTGCCTCATCATGTGTGTGGCTCCTTCAGTTAGGACGACTTCCTCTGTTTCTCCACCAGAGGGCCTCGGTCCTGCATGGGAGAAACCATCGTGCACCTTAAAGGGGAATTGAATTTCTCTGTCCATCATTTCTCTCTTTAGGCAGCCGAGGGCATTACCCTCAGACACTGGGCTTCACCTGGGCCAACGGATTTTCTTTCCAGTTTTGAACCAGTACCTAGGAGTATCTCACTAGCTGTCATCACTGGAGCACACAGAATTGATGTTATAAATATATTAAGTAATTTGCATATTAATGGTGCAAAGCACAGACCTGAGCTCTTGGATTCCTATTTTGTTCTTTCCTCTAGAGTTACACTTCTGTTTGCAAGCTCTCATTTACCCAGGAAGGTAATAGAATACGGTAGAAAGCTCTCAGCTCGCTCTCTCCCTAGGTTTATGAGCCTGAGCAAGCCCTTTCACTTCTGTGTCATAATGGACCAGCTTGTGTTGGATCGTTTATAGCTAGAAAATTCTGTGCTTCTATAACTATGTAAGTAGCTCATTCTGCAAGGAGGGCATAGGAGGCATTCTGAATGACCAATTCTTATTTGTAGCCTTCCCCAGGGTATAATGTTTAGATTTGATACTGCTTATTCAAGGCCTAATTTTCCCTAGTAAATCATCCCTTTCTATGAGGGTCTTCAATTATGTTTCCTCGGCCAAACGCTTATTTCATACAGTGCAAAGTATGAGTGTGAAAAATAAATATGGAAAAGGAAATAACTTTCCTTTTGTACATAGTAGGAACTTAATTAGTGATTCTGGAATAAAATTAGACTACCATATCCATACCCATGCCTTTTTTAGCTGTAGCTATTTCCTTCCCTCCATGTTACTTAAGAGAACCAAGCTTCAGTCCAAAGCAAATGCACTTTGTTGCCTGTGAACATGGATCGCATAAAAACAAATGAAGGAGAAAGCAGAGTAGATTGCATGTCCCAGGGCCTGCTCCCTAATTTTTATTCGTGTTGCTGTTAGAGTTCCGTTAGTGCTGCTTGGAGTCCTGAGCACAAGCTTGTCTTTTTATGCCGCCACAAAGCTTCTGATCTGATATTATCTGACATGTGTGGGTGAGAGGACTATGGGAGTATTTATATACCTATGCCAATAACCCATTATCTTAAAGTTCTCGGGCCATTCTTGTGAATGAGAGCCCTGGGATGTTGTGTAGGTATAAGATACGAATTAATAGCCCTCGTGAGGGCTCGTAACTTACAGAACCCACATTCAGCTTGATTTAATACCTTGGCATGGTTTGAAATGTCATCCAAGAAGAGAGCCAAATACCTAGAGCATCTGCCGCAGCCTGCAGAGACTGACAGGTTTGCACTGGCTGACCTGTGCTGTGGCTTTTTGGAAAGATGAGATGTGTTCTAATGAGCAGGTTATAAATATCACCAAGTTTTGTCATAGGTGGTGGCAGTGCTCAATGTAAAGGGACCAGCTGGAAAGTGTTCCCAGCTAAACCGACCGGGCAGTTTTCAGAGAGGACAACAAGTGGGTCTTGAATATATTGACCAGGATGTTACTAAAGAATTATTCGTGCCTTAATGAAATACGTCACTCAAACACGTCTCTGTGGGGTGTGTGGGGCAGTGAGGAGAGATGTGTTCTGGTCACACTCAGGAAGCTCGGGTTCCAGTCATCACACTCACTCTCAAAACAGGCTTCTGACCCGTTGCTTCTTGTTGTCAATGCAGGGTTCAGAGAAGTTGGTTTGATGAATTTACTGAATAGTGATTTATGTTCTCAAAGATGCAGAGTGGTTGCTTGGTGGAGTCCCTGATTTTTCATACCTTTTATCTTTGTCTTGCCCATAAAAATTGCAACAAAAAGCCTTTACCCACATTACGCACAGTGCATTGCTGATATTCCTGTACCCTTTTGCCCAGTGATGCCACCTACCTTTTAAATGAAAATATAGATTTCACCCCCACTCTGCAGAGCCATTCTAAATTTGAAGGTAGACTCTTGTAAGAGGTCTTGATTTTTTTTTTTTTTTTTGAGACAGAGTGCCGTGGCGTCAGCCTAGCTCACAGCAACCTCAAACTCCTGGGCTCAAGCAATCCTTCTGCCTCAGCCTCCCGAGTAGCTGAGACTACAGGCATGTGCCACAATGCCCGGCTAATTTTTTCTATGTATTTTTAGTTGTCCAATTAATTTCTTTCTATTTTTAGTAGAGACGGGGTCTCGCTCTTGCTCAGGCTGGTTTCGAACTCCTGAGCTCAAACAATCCGCCCGCCTTGGCCTCCCAGAGTGCTAGGATTACAGGTGTGAGCCACCGCACCCGGCCTAGGTCTTGATTTTTCTTATTTGTCGGCCTCAGAACTGATTTTCAGATTTTTATTTTCTTGAGAAAATTTGGTAGGGGTTAGAAAGCACAAAAGACTATCAATCTTGGGTCATATTTTTCAGAGTTGACCAAAGGTGGATTAACATATGCAGAATAACTGTTTGCTTAAAATCTAGCCAACAGATTTTAAGTAGACAAAATGCATTGAAATATGCGTATAAAATATTTAATATTAATACGCGCCAGATAGAAACTCTGTCAAATTCTGTGTGCACACAGGAACTTGACAAGAGGAGTTGGAAGATTTAGAGAGCTTCTCAGAGCAGTTGAAACGAGAACAACTCAAAACCTGCGAATGGTAAGTGTGACCAATGGCTCATTTGAGGCCAGCACAGTGCTTGTCTCATCTATGTTTACATGTGTATGTTTTTATATTAATATATAAATAGTAACTAACCCATTTACAGCATACGATTCAATGGTTTTTAACATATTCGCAGAGTTGTTTAGCTATCACAAATATTTAATTTCAGGACATTTTAATCAAAAGAAGCTATACTCATTAGTAGTCACTCCCCATTTTCCCCTTCCTCTAGCCCTTGGCAACTGCTGACTTATTTAATACTTTCTGTTTCTATGGATTTGCCTGTTTTGGACATTTTATATAAATGGAATTATATAATATGTGGCTTCCTTCACTTATCATAATGCTTTCAAGTCTCTTCCATGCTGCAGTATGTATCAGTATTTCTTTCCTTTTTATTGCCAAATAATACTCCATTGTGTGGATATATCATACTGACTTATCCATGCATCAGTTGGTGGACATTGGGTTGTTTCCACTTTGGGGCTATTACAAATAATGCTCCTATGAATGTTCATGTACAGGTTTTTATGTGGACATACGTGTCCTTTTCTCTTGGATGTATACCTAGAAGTGGAATTACTAGGTCATATGCTGACTCCGTGTTTAACATTTTGAGGAACTGCCAGACTGTTTTCCAAAGCACTGCACCATCTTACATCCCCATCAGCAGTTCCAAAGGTTCCAATTCCTTCACATCCTTGCCAACGCTTGTTATCTTTTGAGCTGTAGCCGTCCTATTGGGCATGCAGTGAGATCCCAGTGTGGTTTTGATTTGCCCTTCCCTGATGGCTAATGATGTTGAGCATCTTTTCATGTGCTTGTTGGCAGTGCTCTCTCCTGAAACATAAGAAGTGCAGCCTGTAGGGCAGGTAGACTGTGGGCCTCCTGGCTGCCAGTGTGTTGACGGGATAGGCTGTATGCTTATAATTCATACCAAAACCCACAGAGAGCAATGCAGATTAGATCTTGACGGGAATTAGTTGGCCAATTATATTGACTATAAAATTTAGAAGACAAATATAAAAGATAGTTAGGTTAACAGTTGATTAGCAACTTGGCTCTCCCGTTGACTTGAAATCTCTCTCTTCCTTTGTAATCCTTCACTTTCCTATCGAAGGAGGTTCATTAATTACACCTCTGCAGCTTACCATATAGAGCCGTAGCCATTTGGTGTTTGGGTGATGGCATGGTGCATATTAGAAGCTAAGCAAATGTCACATGTCACAACTGATGTAGCACCCCCTGTAAGATTGCATTGTCTTTTGTCATCCATGCTGTTGTCCTCCCTTTGTCATCGATCCTTTAAATGCTGTGGGAAATTACTCAGGTGGGTGAGGCTAAGAGATTCATGTTACAGGAAATGAAGGCATTAACTTCATTTTGGTGTCTTCAGACTTTTAGGAGGTAGATGTACAAATTGTGGGGCCAGGTGGCTAAGCAGTAGACTTTTCTAGAATTATGGGAGTGAGACAATATGAGCAACTTCACACACACACACGCACACACTGCCCCAGCCTAAGAACTTACTTGGCCCTTAATATTTATTTATATATTGATATGATTTATAGGTGTCTTAAAAAATTCAAACAAAACATTTAGATTTTTAAGGTTCTTCAAGACAAAAGAACCTGCGAGAACATGGATAAAAATTGTTGCCAGCTATCTTTTCTCTCAGATTGACGTACTCCCAGCATTTCATAAAACTTCTCAACTGGTCAGTATGAATAGCTTCTTCCAAGATATGGAAGCATGATGAAAGTAACGGATTAAATTGGCAGGTGCTTTCATAATTGTTTTAAAAGTACATTAAAAAGGCCAATCTTTCAAAATTGCTTAAATACGGAACATTTGTTCATATCGTTGACTCTCAAATATATATATATTTGATTAAGGAAGTGAATTTTTTTCCCCATTAAAAGGTGTAAGTGCACTAAACACACCTCAGGAATCTGCTTACTGCTGACTTCAACATTATTTTCCCAAATTAGAGAATATCCTTCATTATTGTCTAAGGCTTATAATTTTCAAATCAATAGATTTTAACTTTTAAAAATCCTATGAGGCAGGATTCTGAATAGAGATGTGTTGGGAAGGAAGGGGAGGGGTTCATGTCAATGTTTGTTTCTGAGAAGGCTAGTGAAGAGGCTCCTACACAACGTCTGGGCAGGCTGGAGCTGCTGACTGGTCAGTGCTAACAGGAGGGAGACACTCCCCACTTTGTGTGGCACTGAGGTACAGGTGTGCCTTTTTGATCTCACTTGATGATCTGCAAGTGACCGAAGTTAAACTGTTTCTGATTCCTTGAGTGCTTAACCAAAGATGTACATCAGAATTATCTGAAGAGCTTTGAACAAATACATATCTCTATGCCCGGCCTCAGAAATTCCAACAGAGTAGGTCTGGGACAGGGCCCGAGAATCTGTGTATTCTAAAGTTGCCACGTGTCATTCTTTCCCACCCTAGCTGGAGAAGCACTTTCTTGGTCTTATTCACTGGTGTCTTGGCTTACACTGGACATCAGAAAGTTTCTCCAGATAATGCCATTCATAAGACAGTGTTTCCATCAGTCTTAATATCTATGATTCTTTCAATATTCGCTGATAATTGCAAATTTATGATATTCTTATGAGATGGAAAAGTTGCTTGGTAAATTCTATCTGGACCATAGCAGAGAAGGATTAACAAATACATTTACAGTAATTCCACCCCTAGGTATATACCCCAAAGAATTTAAAACGGGTGGTCAAACAAAAACTTCCACATGAATGTTCATAGCAGCACTATTTATGGTAGCCAAAAGGTGGAAACCAAATGTCTATGAACTGACAAATGGGTACACAAAATGTGGTCTATCCATGCAATGGAGTGTACTTAGCCATAAAAGGGAATCAAGTACTGATACATGCACAATATGGATGAACCTTGAAGACATCATGCTAAGTGAAGGAAGCCAGTCACAAAAAGACCCATATTGTATCATTCCATTTATACGAAATGTCCAAAATAGGCAAATCCATAGACACAGAAGGCTTATTAGTTGTTCACATGGTCTGGGAGGAAGGGGAATGGGGAATCATTGCTTAAAGGGTGTAGAGTTTTTTTTTGGGGGGATGATGAAAATGTTCTGGAACTAGGTAGTGGTGATGGTTATACAACATCGTGAATGTACCAAATGCCATTGGATTGTACACTTTAAAACAGTTAAACAGTTTCTGTTTGTGTCCTTTGCGCACTTTTTAATGAGGTTGTTTGATTTTTTTCTTGCTGATTTGCCTGAGGTTTTTTTATAGATTCTAGTTATCAGCCCTTTATCAGATGTATAGCATGCAAATATTTTCTCCCATTCTGTAGGTTGTCTGTTCACTCTCATGATTGTTTCCTTGGCTGTGCAGACCCTTTTTAATTTGATCGGATCCCATTTATTTATTATTATTGTTGCTGTGATTGCTTTTGGGGTCTTGTTCAGAAATTCTTTGCCAAGGCTGATGTCTATAAAAATTTTTCCAGCATTTTCTTCTATAATTCTTATGGTTTCATGCCTTAGGTTTAAGTCCGTTATCCATTTCAAAAGAAGGTAGACTAATGGCCAACAAACATTTGAAAAAATGCTCAACATCTCTAATCATCAGGGAAATGCCACCTGGTAAATTAAAACCACAATGAGATATCACTTAACTCCAGTGAGAATGGCTTTTATTAAAAAGTCCCAAAACAACCAATGTTGGCATGGATGCGAAGAGATAGGGACATTCATACACTGTTGGTGGGACTGCAAACTAGTACAACCTTTATGGAAAGTAGTATGGAGATACCTCAAAGAACTAAAAGTAGAACTGCCATTTGATCCAGCAATCCCATTATTGGGTATTTACCCAAAGGAAAAAAAGACATTCTATAAAAAAGACACCTGTACTCATATATTCATTGCAGCACAATTCACAATTGCAAAGATGTAGGAACAACCTAAGTGCCCACCAATATGTGAGTAGATTAATAAAATGAGGTATATGTATACCTTGGAGTACTACTGAGCCATAAAAAAGGGTGAACTAATACCTCTTATATTAACCTGGATGGAACTGGAGCCCATTCTTCTCAGTGAAGTATCACAAGAATGGAAAAACAAACACCACATGCATTCACTGTTAAATTGGTATTAATTGATGAACACTTATATGCACATATGGAAGTAACATTCATTGGGGACCAAGCAGGTGGGAGAGGGGAGGAGGGGATGGGTAAATTCACACCTAATGGGCGTGGTATGTGCTGTCCAGGGGATGGGCATGCTTGTAGCTTTGACTTGGGCAGTGTAAAGGCAATTTATGTGACCAAAGCATTTGTACCCCCATAATATTCTGAAATAAAAACAATTTTTAAAAATTAAAAACAAAAACAAATGGTTAAACAGCCTGAGCAACATAGTGAGACCCTGTGTCTACAAAAAATAGAAAAATTATCTTCTCATGGTGGTGTACTTGTATAGTCCCAGCTACTTGGAAGCAGGAGGATCGCTTGAGCCCAGGAGCTTAAGGTTGCAGTTAGCTGTGATGATACCACTGCACTCTAGCCTGGGCAACAGAGTGAGACCCTGTCTCAAAAATAAAATAAAATGGTTAATTGGTGAATTTTGTGTTATGTGAATTTTACCACAAATTTTAAAAAATACACAAAAAGTGCATTTAATGACCAAGTTTGTACATAAACATCCAGGCCTTAATCCAGGTCTACTTCCCTCCTTTAATTCTAAATTTATTTTATAGTTACCAATGATTTTAAGCATTTAAACTACAAACTAAATATAGGTTGAGTAAAAGGTATGATAGATATTGGTGATCTTGTTGGTAATTCTCATGTTTATCTCATTTTCTGAACTTCATTTGTGCTTTCCATGGACACAACCAAATGTCCTTTCAGCGCTCTGTTAAAGTGATGCCTTTAAAATATGCAATCACATCAAAACCCCATTTAAAAATCTCTCAGAAAGGTTAATATTCTAAGGGAAAATGAGATTTACCATGAGCTGTCTAGCAGTGGACCAGCAAACTGTTGAGGGCTGAAATTTTTACAACTTTAGAATTCCTGCATGGCAGATATATCCAGAAAATGAAGTTCCTTGTTCATTTTTTTCCTTTTAACATTTATTTCTCAGCTATAGTGAGTGGAAGTTATTTTTGCCAGTTGAATTTTCTAGCAGAAGTCATTAGCTTATATGATTGCAATGAGATCAAAATGAAACTATAATGGAAGGTTTAAGAAAACAGTTCAGGAACTGTTTAGGTCCTGAAAATTGTGCTCTTATGAGATCTTTACAGATTGCTCAGTAGGGGATGATCAGAGTACATTTAATTTCAAATTTTTATAGACATTTAAAGCCAGTGAGTCTTACTTGGGAATAATCAAGAAAATTTGCCTTTACCCAGTGGTTATCAGAAACCACTAGGCTAGTGATTTGGTTGCATTTAAAATTCCTTGTGGTGTTTTAAGAGATTTCACATGGATAAAAGCTTAACAAAGCTCTCTTCTGGAACATTTTTTTTTTTTTTTTGAAAGGCTCATTCTCTGGGAAGATGAGCATTCTTTGCATCTTGCAAAGAATGCTAAAACCTGGTGGAAAACCCTCCTGTTTGAAATTTTACTGTGCTACCTCTGGTTGATCATGGGCAGTGTGGACTGCTCTGGGATGCAATGCTTCTGGTTTCAGAGGGATTTTTTAAAAATTACTTATCCTCTTCTTTGTCACTGGAAGATTATGAGCTAAATGAAGTGATATGCATCAATCAAAAAAATACTTCTTAGGACATGCCACACACTCCTTGCCCCCATACACCATACATGGTACTGTTGTAGGCAGTGGAGTCCCAGCGGGTTTGGGAAAGCATATTAATCTACATCTAACTTAGGAGGACAAGATCCAGATGTTTCTGGGTTTCACAGTGAGGAAGAAGATACTCATCCAGCTTTTTGGAAAGGTCTTTTTTGATCAGGAACCCCAGGCCCCACTTTGCCTTCTCTATTGCACAAGGCCAGGAGGCCCAGGATGCATTGAAGACAGAGCACTCAGGTGCTGAGTCCCAGGCGTGGGCCATGTGGGGCCGGCCATTGGTGTCTCCAAGAAGGAAAACATTCTAAATATCTACAGTGGACATCAGATCGTCAATGGAGAGATTTTTTTTTTTTTTTTTCAGGAATAGCATCATCTGAGTACTGGCTTTATCAGATGTCAATTGGGAGGTGGTGAAAATATCTGCAGATCACCTGTCATTTATAAGATCTCTTGGGAAAGGGCTTAGCTAAAAGTTTCAGTTGTTTCAGGTTTAAAACATGTTTAATATCCCAGAGCGTAACAGACACAGGGTGGCATTTGAAGTGCATGAACCTCTTTTGTTTAAAGAGTTCAGATGTCTTAGTATATCATATTTTCTTTTCTTTTTTTGTCATAAACTGGTATAATTTTCATCATAAAAGTAAACATTTTAAATTATGAGTCTTGCAATAGGGCTCAGCACAGAGTGATGACCTAAATATTTATTGAATGAGTGGACGAATGAATGAATGAATGAATAATACAAAAGAGATTCATGGCTATGCTTTTCCTCCTTTGTGTTCCCAGACAATAGCCAGGCAGCTGGCAGAGATCTTGTTGCGGGGTATGTGTGAGCAGAGCTATTGGAACCCTCTGGAGGAGCCACCATGCCAGTCTCCTCTGGACGATCCTCTCCGGAAAGGAGCAAACACAAAAACCTACACCCTCACTCGGAAAGCCCGCGTCTACTCAGGAGAGAAGTATGCAAGTTGATGTCCTCACTTATAGCTTAGGGGATGGCAGGGAAACTTGGGGAAATTCAAGGATGAGTGGAAGTAGGAGGGCAGAGTTTTTCTTCTAAAAGAAAATCAGATGAACAAGTCTCATTTTCTAATTTAATTGATACCTCATTACTTCTCATAACTTTGGCAAATATCTGTGCACTAGTGGGGACATTTTAAGTAGAAAAATGCTCTCATCTCGGTACTTGGCTGCCATCCACAGCCATCACTATTGGTCTTTGGAATTTTTGTTCCACTTATTGTAAGAACCCCAGCGTTATACAGCAATCAACGGCAAGGCCATTTGTAAGCCAGAGCTAACATTTTTTCTATTCCTCAGCAATTCCTCGATCCTTTTGTTTAAAATCTTGTTCTAAACTGAACTAGATACAAGAAGGAGAATTAAATAATTTGAGAGTGATTGGAAGGTTATGTCTCTTTAGAACTTCTTTATCTTTTTAAGTTTTAAATTTGGGACATAATCACCTTGCAGGAAAACGGGCCAGAGAACCACATAGCCTTGGCATCAGGTCAGGTCAGAGGAAGCAGGACACAGGAGGGCACGAGACAGTGCTAAGGGCTGGGGGACAGAAACAGTTGTTGACTTATTCCCGATTCCTCCCGTTAGAGCCTTTAATTCCCACCGTTGCCTGTTCCTACAGGGACAAGGCCTGTTGGTTTTTCAGAATCTCTACATGAAGGAAAGGAGAACATGCATGAATAAATATGGATAACTTTGGTGCTATCGAATTGGAAAAGTGGCTAAGAGGCTACAGGCTGCTGCTTCTAATGCCCCAGGGAAAGCACTGACAGAGATGGGTGATTAGATACTCTCTCCACGTGTGACGTCTGAAAATGATTATTGCATTTTCAAAGGGAGACAGCATTTCTCAAGGCCACTGCCCGTTAATAATCCTCTTAAGTTGACCCTGGCATTTCTCTCCTTCATTGCCTTCTTCTTCAGTTTGCATTTCCTATGTGGATTCAGACAAGTTAGTATTTTCGTAGTTTTTTCTGTAGGCTTATTTTAATTTCATTTTCATCTCCCTTCTCCATGGCCTCGTCGATGAACCCACAGGTTTGTTTAATTCACAGCCTGCGTTTACTCCTTAGTTCTTACCTGGATTCACGAAGCATCTGTCCTAGCAGTTCCCAAGCTCTCACTTTAAAAATGCTGACCCCTCATTATGAACTATTTAGAGCAGGTTTAGAGTTCATTTTTTATTATGAACTATTATGGTGTATTTTTTAAAGTAATATTTATATCTTAAAAATAGACCATAGAGTTTTTTCCTGTTTTAGATATTCTTAATAACCAAGGTGCCAAGTACATTAAGAAACTTAGTTTTCACCCTCTACCCCAGTCCAGTTTGACACATGGACAGAGCTGGGGGTCTGTCTGGGTGCTGTTCCAGTGTGGCCCTATCCCTTGAAGGCAGATAAGCTTATAGTGCTGGCCACCTCTCCTCTATTTCTTCAACTACTCAGACTTTGCCACTTTTAACATCAGATTCCCCACCTGTGTAAGGAGAATTATGGAGACAAAACACAGATCGAGCATCCCCACAAAGGGAAGACTAAAGGGAGCATCCCCAGACCAGCACTAGTTACTGAGTCACAAGTTTCATTTCACAAAAGTGCACATGATCAGGTTTTTTAATTGTTTTATTGAGACACAATTCACATATTATGCAATTCACCAATTGAAAGTGTGTCATTTAGTGGCTCTTAATATACTCACATAGTTGTGCATCCATCACCACAACTGACTTTAGAAAATTTTCATTATCCCAGAAATAAACTCAGCACCTCTTTGCTGTGGTCCCCATGTCTCTCAGTCTCTTGAATTTCCATTTGAATTTTAGGATCAGCTTGTCCATTTCTGGAAAAAAAAAAAGCTGAGATTTCAGTGGGCATTGTATTGAATTTGTAGATCAATTTGGGAGTATTGCCATCTTAAAAATATTAAGTCTCTGATCTATGAACATGAGATATCTTTCATTTATTTAGGTTGTCTTTAATTTCTTTCAACAATGATTTATAGTTTTCAGGATATAAGGTTTGTACTTCTTTTCTTAAACTTATTCCTAAGTTTTATGTGTGTGTGTGTGCTAATTTTTTTGGTGCTATTTTAAGTGAAATTGTTTTCTAAATTTCATTTTTAGATTGCTCATTGCAAGAATATGGAAATAACAATTGATTTTGTATATTGATCTTGTATATTGCAGCCTTGCTGAACTTCTTTATTAGTTCTAATAGTTTTTTGGATTCCTTAGGATTTTCTATGTAAAAGATCATGTCATCTGCAAATGGAAATAGTTTCATTAATACTTTTTTCTTTCTAACCTGGATGCCTTTTATTTCTTTTTCTTCCCTAATTGCCCTGCCTAGAGCCTCTAGTATAATGTTGGATAGAAGTGGCAAGAAAGGACATCCTTGTCTTGTTTCTTATCTCCGCAGGGGTAAAGCACAAAGTATGGTCTTTAGTGTGGGTTTTTGTAGATGTCCTTCATCAGGTTGAGAAATGTCCCTGCTATTCCTAGTTTGTTGAATATTTTTATTATGAAAGGATGTTGAATTTTGTCAACTACTTTTCCACATCAATTGAGGTGATCCTGTGGTTTTTGTCCTTTATTCTGATGGTGTGGTTTATTACATTGATTGATTTTCAGATATTAAGCCAACCTGCATTCTTGAGATAAATTCCACCAGGTCATGGTGTATAATCCTTTTCATTTATTGCTGGGTTCTATTTGCTAGTATTTTGTTCAAAATTTTTGCAGCTTTATTCATAAAAGGTATTGTTTTGTAGTTTTCTTGTGAAGTCTTTGTCTCATTTTGGTATTAGGGTAATACCGGCCTCGTAAAATGAATTGAGTAGTATTCCCTCCCCTTCTATCTTTTGAAAACGTTTGTGGAGAGTTGGTATTAATTCTTCTTTAAATGTTTGGTAGAATTCACCAGTGAAGGTATCTGATCCTGGGCTTTTCTTTATGGGAAGTTTTTTGAATACTAATTTAATCTCTTTACTTGCTATAGGTCTATTCATATTTTTTATTTCTTCTTGAATCAGTTTTAGTGGTTTGCATCTTTCTGTTTCATGTAAGAATCTAGTTTGCTGACATACAGTTGTTCATACTATTCCCTTATAATTTTTTTACTTCTGCAAGGCTGGCTGTCACATCCTCTCTTTCATTTCTCATTTTAATAATTTCAGTCTTTTCTTTCTTTTTGGGGGGTCAGTCTAACTAAAAGTTTGTTAATTTTGTTGATCTTTTTGAAGAACCAACTTTCAGTTTTGTGGATTTTTTTTCTATTGTGATTCTGTTCTCCATTTCATTAATTTCCACACTAATCCTATGCCTTCAGTTATCACTATCAGTTTTTAGCTTTCTAATTTTATGTGTTCACAACTGTACTTCTTACTTGGAATATCAGTAAGGAGGGAAAACCTGTTGGAATTATACTTGTTTGGGAGCTCCCTTATTACCGAGGCAGGACTATCTGATCAGTCAACACTGTGGCAGAAAGGGCATTACCACCAGGTCAGTTATGCTGGTTTGGAGGTGGAACAGGGAATCCATAGATAATGTTCAGACCTCATTTGGGCCAATTGTCCCAACTCTTCCTTTCCACTCAGGCTCTGATGAGAAGTGTAAGTATAAAGCAGAATTTAGGTGGCAGAGATCCTGAAGGCTCCAGCAGACCACAAGGGCCGCTCAGGATAGTTGGTCATGATGGGATGTAACTGAAAAGTGAGCTCCCCCAGGAAGCTCCATCCCTGCCACTGCGACCAGACATGGAACAGGTGGAGGATGGTCACTCTCTGCCCATCTTGAATTTGGAAAGGAAATAAAATGTTGAAAGTTCTGGAGAGGAGGGATCACCTGTCATGGGCCTCCTTGTTTTCTTCCTTCTGGGTGTTCCCATGAAGAATTTTAATCGGCTTTTGATTACTTGTTTTTAGGGTAAGCTTTTCTTTGACACATAACAAACAGAGAGAAAAATAAACAAAAATATAAAATTTGATGAATTTTCATCAAGTGAACATAATCCATGTAATCAGCATCCTGATGAAGAAAACGTTGCCAGAACCCTGGAAGCCCTCTTGGTACCCTCTCCCAGTCTGAAATTTATGTAAATAGAATTATACAATATTTACTCTCTTATGTTTAACTTTGGTCTAACTTTATATTTTAAAAGATTCACCCATATTTTTGCATGTAGCAGTAATTTTTTTATTGCTGCAAGGTATTCCATTTTATGACTATGCTCCAAAATATTGATCTATTCTACTCATGATGTATACATGAGGATTCTGACCCTTGTCCCCACTATGTCTTCTGTAGAATCAGATAATGAATTAGTTTCCTACTCAAGGCTCATAGGAACAGTGCCACTGTGAACATTCTTGTGCATGTTTCTTAGTGTATTTCAGCCAAGTATATTTTTCCTTTCATTTTATCCCTCCTTGTAAAAAGCATTTGAGGTGGCTTAGATAATTAAATGCATATTAGACTAGATAATTAGCACAACGTAAAGCAGGAGATTAAAGACCACTATTGTGGATGGTAGTTAATATTGGACAATATTTTCAGGAAGTGGATAATGAAAAGATTTATTGAATGCTAGTGAGTGCCAGGCATGGTGCTAACCTCCTTTATAGGTCTAGGAGGAAAAAGTAATTGTCATGGAGTTCTAAGTACAGGTCTGAGCCTCCTATTAGCCAACAAGGAAGTTTTTCTAAGAATGGGGACGCTGTTTAAAGTGGAAAGATGAGGTACGTTGAGGGGTCAAGACGGCTTCTTGTCGGCAAAACCGAAGCCGTGTAAACAACCAGCTGCACCACTGGTTGGCCATCAGCTCCTCGCCTCTGCACAGAGCCCACCTGCAAGTCATGGTCACCAGGAGCACGGAAGCCCTTGTGCAAGGTGATGTGCCATGTGGGATTCACCCCATCCACTCAACAGAGCACAGCTCAGTGCACCTGGGCTGGTATACATGAAGGACCCTTCTTTCTTTGTTGCGAAGGAGCTTTTGACTTATGTGAATTGAAAAAAAAGGGAAGGGCTGTGGTGAGGCCCTTTTCCTCTCTTGGCACCCTCTTTCTGCACAGTCCTGGGACTAACAATAGACTCTACCTTCACATGTTTGGCAGACAGTATGACTTGGGGTGCGGGAGGGTGGGGTTTCAGCCATTCTTGGCTTTGAGTCTTCAGGTCTTACCTGGCTGGCTGTATTTCTCCAGTAATTTCCCTAGTAGTGTCCCAGCCAGGCATATTAAAATTATAAAGGCACATTACTAGACCTTGGAATTGATGTTATCATTGTTTACAAATCAACTTTCTTGTGGGTTGGTGTTCATGGCATTCCCTGAACCTAAACAGGGTCCTGGATGGTGCCAATGACCTTCAGACATCCAACTTGTCATTAGTCATGTAACAGCTAGAGGTGACAGAAGAGAAGAAATGCAGTTAGATAAAGTTGGATTAATTTCTTTTGTATGATTGTTTCTACCATGTACAGTAAAGTTTTTCACCTATCTAGGGAGAACTTTAAGAGAGAGCTATTATCTGGGAGCCTTTGTTCCCTATGTCTTCTGTAGAATCAGACGATGAGGTAGTAAATTCATCCAAAGTAAGAAAATGGGCAGTTTGCCTAAAGGTCCCCAGCGAGTTGGTGGCATGACTAGGATTAGGACGGAGCCCTCCCATTCTCAGCCCAGCAGCAGCGTTGGCACTGCCACCTCCTTTGCCAGCCCACCAGCTCTTGGGAGCTCGTCCTCATGCCTGCTGATCTGTTTTCTCCCTGTCCCTGTATCTCCCCTGCACTAACTTTCCTCTGGGTCCAGGGCCCCAGTTTGCCCACTCTTCAAGGCTGAGGCCTGGGCACCTCAGGGTCTCCCCCTCAGGCTCTCAGATCCCAAAGAGAAGAAGGTCACAAAAGGAAGGCCCCAACAATTTTGACCATCCACCCCGGGCTCCATGCTTCCCTGAGTGAGGAAGAGGGAAGAAATGGCCAGAAATGGGTCTAGAGAATTCCTAATTATTGAGAAGGAGGCTCTGAGTTTGTGGTTTTCCAGGCATGTCTCTTACCACTACCCTTTCTCCCTCCACTTCTTCCTCCCAGCCCCTGGAGCTTCGGAGTGCTCCTGAGCACCCACCTTGCCCGCCACAACAGGGAGGGCAGAGGAAGTCGCATTAGAATCAGTTAATGTGCCACTTGTTAGCAACTCTGGTAAAAATAACATGACCTAGCATTTAGACAGGCTGGATGGCTCAAATGGAATTTGGAGATTATCCATGGACTGAATTGGCTAGTGTGAAGTCCCAATTAGCATGGCCTCTCTCTGTTTTCAATTAATCTGGAGTTGGACAATGCCGAACTGGCTAGCTGTGAAGAAAGGGGTTAATGTTACTGCTTTATTCACAGGTCCCAATTGCATGTAAGCACCAGCCAGCGTATCAGGAAACGACTGCTGGACATAAACACACACACACACACACACACACACACACACACACACACACACACACATAAACGGGGAGACTGTTGGGGGGTGCTCTTAATTCAGGGCCTTTTTGCTCTATTTCTGAATTTAAGGGGAAAGAAGTATTCCATCTTCTGAAAAACTCTTATCACTTCAGGCTAACTCCTGAAGGAAGTCACTGCAAATCCCAGAATCTCGCTCCTCATTCTCAGGCCAATCTTTCATAAAATTTTAGCCCTGGAAGAGCAATAGAAACCATCCCTCCAATGGTTTTCTTACCTCTGTGATGTCAGAGTTGTAAGAAGAGCACTGTATTCTTTCTATCTAGATCTTCATCATCCTTTGATGCGGTACAAAAATTACCAGTGCTTCAGTGAGAACAAATATTTATAATTACTTGGCAATCATTTTTTTTTTTTTTTTTGCCTTCTTTGGGTGGAAATTTCTTCAATTAAATGATTGTAATGTTACCCCTGGGAAAATGTAAATTTAGTTTTTATTTCGTCATCTTCAAAATATCTAGAAGTTTTTTTTAACCAAGTTCATTTTAATTTATTGCAAAGTCTTCTTCATTCCATGAAAAAAAGTTGAGTTTGGCCCAATTGGTGACAACAATCACAATTCTACTCAAAGGATTCTAGAGCTTTAGAACAAGCGGGGAAAAAATGCTGCAAGTCTTTAAAAGTGCTCACAGCACAACAAATAGGATATACAGAATGCAGATTGGGGTTGTGTTTGGGTTTTTATTGTTCTCTAATCCTGAGCAACATTGAGCTTAAAAGCTTTTTCTTTTAATCCAAGATTTTAGAGTTCAGCCAAATTCCATAAAATAGATTAATAAGACAGCTCTTGCCATAATAAAACATGTGTGTTTAACTAAGATAGCCTACTAAATTCTTATAGTGTTAGAGAAATTATTCAACTCAAAAACTGCTTTTTCAATCTCATTTCATCTAAATGACAATGTAAGATATGTCAGTTAGCAGGTAAGAGGTAAGAAGAGCAGTGAAATGTCTGCAATTTATACCTCCATAATGGGTTAGGAGAAAGTTTGTATTATTTACTGTCGGTTTATAGAGATCAAAATTTCTGCCTCTATAATAGCAACATATATTTTTTGGGCTTTTAAACTTGGTTTTTACAACTTTACTTCACCCTTCTGCCTGCCATTAAAATGCATAGCTAAAAATGTATTAATTCCGTAGATTTCCATAGAAATAGGCAAATTAATTCAAGTGTCCAAATTATGCAGTATTTTTCCTGAGTTTTATATAAAAATCTAGAAGCTTTTAGCATTCAGTTCCGCTCATATTTGTGTATTTTATGTTATTTTGAAATTGCAATATATCAACGTTGGTTTGCTTTTTACAGCATTTTTTGTCCTCAAGAAAATACTGAAGAAGCCCTGTTGTTATTGCTGATTAGTGAATCAATGGTAAGTGGAGTGTGTTTTTATATCGTTCTTCCCCTCGTCCCTGCAGTACCTTGTTTGGTATGACCATTCCATTGGTATGGTTACTCTTTTCCTTGGGAGAAAATACTTTCTAGAGGGGATGCCTGAGTGGGAAAAAACAGTAGAGTTTTAAAAAGAGGGTTGTTTCTTCATTCTTGGACTTGCTAGCAATGTCCCTTGTTCAGCTTGGAGCTTGGCACTTCTCCAGTTAGCATGTGTCTTGGTTCGTTCATTCATCCACCAAGTATCGGTTGAACACTCATGCAATTGTATGTAGGTAAGCCACAGCTAAAATGACCACCAAAGGAACCTTAAAAAGAGAAAGAAGCTTCCAATGGACAACCTTTACAAGCCTTCTCAATTTTCCCTGGTGTGAGGGAAAGTTTGGGGATAAAACACTTGTTGGACATATGAACCTCTGGTTTACGTAGTAGGAGCCTGATGAAACGGCCTTCATCCCCAAGCTCCCACCTGTTCCCAGGCACTGCCAGATCCCAGGCTGTGAGAGCTCACTGCTATTACCTGGCCATGCTGTTGGGAGGGAGTTTTGCCAGATCATCTGATTCCTTTGAAATGTTTTTCTTAGTGTTTGGCCAGGATATTGAGTTTTAAGTCTAAAATTGCATCACTCATCATTTATTGGGTTTCTATTCTGTATATCACTAGGCATTACAGCCCTGGCTTGAAATCAGGGGTAATGAGTGTTGTAATAGTTAATACCTCAGCAGGTACATTATGTGTGCTCAACACCTGAGCAGAACGACAGGCTCCTGAAACTCAAAGGACTAGAGAACATCATGTCCATTCACCTCGTTTTACAGATAAGGAACCGGAGGCCCAAGCAGGTGAAACTCATGCATCATGCAGTGGTCTACCGTTCCTTCTAGCAGGTTGTACTGTCCTCTCCTCATAACTTCCACCCCACCACAGGCAGGGGGAGAAAAAGGAATCGTATCTCAAGCAAGAGAAGGCGTTTCCCTTCTTCTGCTCGCAAACACACTGTTGCATTGGAGGTATGAAATACACTCAGGTGAAAGACTTAGAAATGGAGCACAAGAAGAATGTCCATGTGCTGAGAGCAGGAGGGATCGGAGGAGGCCATGAGTAGTGAGGGAGGGTAGCTCTCTTCCCTCAGTTTCAAACCTTGGGTTTTCTTGTTCTGTGGAATGGCCCAGAGATGTTTACAAGAGCAAGACTGCCTGAGTTACCACTTCCTTTTATTTGGAAGCTCTTTGGCATCATCAGGATTCCTCTCAAGGACACAGGTTGCCCCTTGGGTCCTCTTGCCTTGACTGTCAGCTGGTAACTTAGGACGGTGTCATTTTCATTCTCTACTGTGCCTTGGCACAGTCAGGGGGAAGGCACATAGGTGAGCAGGCTGGCACTTGGTGGCATTCAAGTGGACAAGTCTCACCAGGCTTCATCACCATCACCAGTTCATGGATGGCGCCAGCAATGTTGGCCTTCTAGCTAACATACCCTTACACCAAGCTGGACTCGTCACAGCTTCTCAGATAGTTTCCTTTGGGCAAACTTGGTTGGTCATTGTGTAAAAGTTCTGAAAGTGTGATGACCATACATTTTAGATTGCTTGGATGATTCTGATTGAAAATATTGTGTTCTGCTGTCAGATCATGTGTTCCAGTCTGGAATTTGGAAAACATGGCCACATCTCTAAAACGCTCGTTCTAAGTGTAGATATTTTTGGAATGATGTCTTCAACTCTCCTGCTTCTTACTTGAAGTGGTATAAACTAATAATACTCAAAAGTTGAGATCTCTTTGAGATAGTCAGATTTGGCTCTATGGTATTTAATCTCCAGAATAATCTCTTCAGGGAATGGTGGAATCCAGTGGTGTCATCAGTAAACATGAAGGGTTAGGTTTCTAACCAAAACAATTGTGTTCTCCCTGTAAGTCATTTCTTAAAATGTAGGTAGAAATCTAAATTCAGTTGCCTTTGGAAGCCTTTTTTCATGTCCTTTGACTCCTTGATTTTTCAGCTTTTAGATAGAAAATGTATGTGCTTAATTTCAGAACCAAAATGAAAATTGCTATGTTTTTTGATGCCTGAGAAAATTGTATTCTTTGTTGGTTCTGACTTTAACTTAGAAGCATAAATTTGTCCATAGTCTTTCTACCTACAAGAAATCATTTGGAATTATACTGCTTTCTCACTGCAAGTCGAATTAGTTTTCCCTTGGAGAAGGGGATTATTGAACTATGTTTGCATAGCTACCACTGAGACAATACCTGGAATATTTATTATTTGTGGATCTGTTAGAGTATACCTTTTTAATCAAAAGATATGGATACTTTCTTTAAAAAATGAAAATAAAAAGCATTTGTCATAATTTGAAAATGTCTCATAAATAGTATTTTTGTTTTGTTTTATTTTGTTCTCTTCCAGGCATTGGTCTCAGTATGGAACATTTATAGCAAATAAATGAAACAAAACCATTTACAGCAGGCCCTATTTCCATCAGAGATTCTTTTGTCAGGCTCAAAAGGCAGTCTTAACAAGAAAAACTTAGAATGAAATCTTCAAAAGCAGGCTTATTTCCATAACAGATGACTCACTTTGTAGGAAGTGGACTGTCTTATATATTCTTATTTGTCTTTGACATTTAAGAGCAAGGAATTTTAAAGTGAGTAAGTACTGATGGGTGGCTAAAAGTAAATGCCTTGGACTTACACACAAAAAGAAGGCATTTTGTCTCATTAGTGAGAGGGAAGGTGTGTGTGTGGCCTTTCTGAATGTCAGGCAGGAAGATAAACATGAGCCTTCAGGGACAAGTGACCCCAGGTCCTTATGTACCACTTTCACGGGAAAGGCTGAGTGGCCCTTGCTCTGCTCCTAGGGACAGATGGATCTGGAGACTTCTGTTAACTAGCAGGGAAAAAAGGCAGGCGAAATCTAACTTTGTTGAGTCTGAACTCCCTATTAGGGAAAAAAGGAGAATGAGCTAGCTGTTAAGTCTCTAATACATGTGGAGGAATCTGTAGAGAAATTAAATTTCAGGAGTAATGGAAACAAGTTGCTATAAAGAACATTTGTTTTCTGGATAGATGAGATTAATAAGCTCAAATGTGCCTGATGTATTTCTATGCTAAGCAGTAGCGATGTGAAATTGACAAGGTGTTCTCTTGAGTCCTCTGTGGTAATATCTTTTAAAGTAAAAGTCTGCTTGTTTCTGTTTTCTCTTACGCCTCCGTTTTGTGCTTCGCTGATCAAGATTGAATTAGTGTTTGTGGTCTGTTGCAGTCGGGATGTCACATAGGGATTTGAGTATTGCTTGGTAGCAGAGGGAAAGCATGATGTACCTCTGCAGGACTGATGGAACTTGATGGCACCATTTGGTAATGGGAGAGTCAGGGCTGGGAATTTTCTCCCACTCTTTGATGTAGAGCAGGAGCAGGAACTGCAGGTGAGACAGAGCAGGGCCTCACCCCATGGAGGAGGCTGTCGCCCTAGAGCACAGCTGGGTCTGCAGCGAGGCTGTCTGTGAACTTGAGCCCACGGAAACTCCCTGCTTCGCATCCGCTCCCAAAGCTTCCTCCAAACACCTGTGACAGGTACATGTGCCTCTGGGTTCACACCTCCAGTACTTCAGCACATATCGTATACCATGTGCTGCCGTGCTCAGGGGTGTTTGAATAAATGACCTGAGGTGACAGGCCCCTCACTTACTTCCGCCCTTGTCTCCAGCCCCTTGGCAAACTGTTAGGGGCAGGACAGGAGGGCCTAGGTGGCTTCTCTACTGCTCAGTGACAGCTGTGTGCATGGGCTAGCTCAGCATCTGCTTCTCTTCCATCTTGTTTTCAGGCCAACCGCGATGCCGTGCTGAGCAGGATACCTGAGCACAAGAGCGACCGTCTTATCAGCCTGCAGAGCGCGTCTGTGGTCTACGACTTACTGACCATCGCTCTCGGGAGAAGAGGCCAGTACGAGATGCTGTCGGAGGTACAGCCGCTGCGCTGGTGGGCTTCCAGGGGGTGGTCGGCAGTTGTGGGATGACCCCAGGGAGGGGCTGTGAGACCTGGTCTTGTGTCCCCCTGTATCTCTGGTGGCCGCATAACCTTGGGCCAGTCATTTAACTTTGGTTTCCTCCTCTGTAAATGGGCATTAGGCTAAATGATGAGGTAGCGGAATTGATCTACAGTCTCTTACCACTGGTGGCCCATAATCCACCAGGCTGTGAGGGAAGGCAAGCATTTCTCAAGCAGTTTCTCTTTCAGTGTGTTTCCGTCATAACCAAAAATCTTCCATCTGTGATATTCATTTCCTTATAAAACAGGTTTTGTTTAAAATATCTATGCAGCTCCCAGTGAAATGGCAATTTCAGGCCCAGTGTATCATCAGGTTAGCTGGTAGACTATTTCACATAAAGTAAACACTGTCTTCATTTACAGTCTTCTATTTGCTCAGAAGGGATCCTGGTGGATTCCAGATCTTATGCAAGGTGCTGTCATCTTCTCACTCCTTCAGTTTCTAAGAAATGCTTAGGATGGAAGCTTGACTGCTCACAGTTTCAAATGAAGCTGCTTAATCTTGGGCTAAGGTCGTGTGTTATTAGGCTGCCTCCCAGAATAACAGATCCCACCATGGAAAGGCTAAATAAGTAACGAGATCATTTTATCTTTTCTTTAGCAAAATAAAGAGAAAGAGAGAGAGGGAGACAACCTATTTTGTTAAAAGGAACTTTTCCATGTTATTTATCTTTCTCTTTCTAAATTTATACCCATTGCAACAGCCTCTGGGCACGAGGACAGGGAGTGAAATACAGTAACAGATTGGCTGAAACCAGATAAGTGGCCGACTCACCCTCCAGCCTGCCAGTGCGTCGCCACGTTAGGCAGGAACCTTGGGGAACAGATGAGCCTGCGTGGCTTGAATCTTTTTTTAGTCTTTGGTTTGGTGACTATACAGGGCAATGGTTACTCAGCCTCCAGAAAAAAAAAAAGCAAACCCCTCACAATCCGGCTGGATAAAGCAATACGTGCCCCGTCTCATGTGGCCCACCCCCGGGACTCCATCCAGGCTTGAGATGGGCCCAGATTGTTCCTCACTGAACAGTTTGCGCCCCCTTTGGGTGCCCTGATTTCCTGGACCTCCTCCTCCTGACCAGCTTAGTTTCTGTCATCTGTGTATGTGAAGCCCATCTGTGGGGACAGTGCCACCTAGCTCATAGCTGAATTCTTTTAAGGTGAATTTTTCCTCCAGACAAACCACTTCACACCTCTCTAGGTCCAGGGATGAGAGTGGTGTGCACGTCTGCTTCCGTCCCATCACGTAGCAACGTCGCCTTTCCCTAGCTCGACATTTCCTACATGCAAACGGGCGTGAGGAGCTTGAGGGGGCTGGCCTGCTTGATGGGTTGGGTGGCCCTTGCCCACGGGTTTCTCATCATTCCACGAATGACTCTAGGGGGCGGATGTCACCTCAGCAGATCCCTCTGCAGGCCGCACCGCTTACGGCACGCAGTCCTAGGACCTTGTTTTCACCGAGATGACTCCCATCTTGACATCACACGTAGCTTCCATCTCGTGGTGACAACCTGACTCCCGAGTCACTGGAGAGTCTGGTTGCTGGACCCGCTACGATTCAGAGCTCTGTCCCACTAGTCGTATTTGAAATGGCGGAAACAGTGCCAAAGATGCACTCAGAGATGCCGGAGTGGGAGGGTGGAGGACAGGGGCATTTATCACTGGAGCGTTTTGAATTTTGTGCCATATCTGTGTTTTAGCTATATAAGTCAATTGATAAGATATAAGTCAATTGATAAAATATGATGAACGTTTATTTCTTAGAGAACATTTATTTCTTCGACACAGCCAGGGGCTGTGATTGAGGCTGGGGCTACAGCCATGAGCTCGTGTGGCCCCTGCCGACCTGGAGGGAAGCAGCCAGGCAGTAGGCGCAGCCGCCCGGACGGCCAGCCCGGGGAGGAAGGAGGGCTCGGCGCAGCTTCCACGTCCATCAGTCGAGGAACTGGGCACTTGGCTTCAGCCTTTCTCACTATTTCTACTTGAGTGTTTGGAGCTTCCCTCAGCACAGACGGCTGTTGTCTCAGAACCTTCCAACTAAAACAGTTGTCATAAGAAAAATGAAACCTCACGGCATCTCGGGGCACCCCGGTCCATCTTTACTGGGGTTTTTCTGAATCCATTTGGCTTTTTTGTTGTTGTTGTTCCCATCTGCCCTTCCATTTTCTCAGGACTTTAAGTTAAAAGGGTAACTGGATATTTTTTAATTGAAGTAAAACTCACGTAAACATTCACCCTATGCTGCAACCATCACCTCTAATTCCAAAACATTTTCATCGCCCTGAAAGGAAACCCCATATCCATTAGGCAGTCACCCCCCATTCCTCGCTTCCCCACCCCCATTCCTGTCAACTACTAATCTGCTTTCTGTCTCTGTGGATTTACCTATTTTGGGTATTTTATATAAATGGAAATATCCAATATGCGACCTTTTGTGTCTGGCTTCTTTCACTTAGCATGTTTTCAGGTTTATACACATCGTAGCGTGTATCAGCATTTCATTCCTTTTCACGGAAGAATAATATTCCCTTATATGGATATACCACAATTTGTTTTTTCATTCATTAGTTGGTGGAAATTTGGGTTGTTTACACCTTTTAGCTACTGTGAACAGTGTTGCTGTGAGAGGAACGAGATTTTAAACTTCCTATGTTTGTTACTTTTCTTTGGGCCCCACAAATGTCAGTGGTTGTCATTGTTACCAGTCACTGTATATTGCAGTTCCCCGTGTTCACCTCCAGCACCATCGCAGGGCAACCTTTCTCCTACGACGCGGCCACGGGTGTGTATCGGAAATATCCGATGGCACCCCTCTTCTTCTTTTTCTCTTTTTTTATTTTGTTTTGTTTTCCTTTCCTGCCATAATGAAATTGACTCCATTGTTTGTCTTTCTGCCACGTGCAACAGCCTTGCATGAGCCTTAAAGGATCAGACAATACATACAAATACAGAAAAGGAAATAGGAGTCCCTTATAATCCAGCTATCCTGAGATAGTTGACTATCCATTGACATTTTAGAGACCATCTTTACATCTGTCTTTATGAATAAATGCATGTGCATTATGTAAGTTTTATGGAATGGGATAGTATCCTACACATTTTATTGTAGATATTCTCCATCTCTCTTCTCCCCTCCACTGGCACCCAGCCTATCCCTGCGTCCTCCACCCTAGACCCGGTCATCAGCCTAGTGTGTCCTGGGTCATAGGCTGTAGAATCAGAGAGCTTTGGTTTCAGTTCTGGATCTGCCACTTAACAGTTGTGTGATCCTGGGAAAGTCATGAACCTCCTATGCCTCAGTTTCTTTTCCTGTAAAATAGGGATAATAATTGTGTATATCTTGACAATTGTGAGGGTTATATTCGTTAATCTATGCGAAGTACTCAGAACAGAGCCCAGCACATAGAGCCCATAAAATGGCAGCTGTATGCTGCTGCCGCTGCAGTTATTACCACTGTATACACAGGAGTTACCAGGCACAGAGGACACAACAAAATATGCAATAAAGATCTTTTGCCTTCAAGAAATTTCCGTTCTAATTAGGGAGGCCAAATAGAAATACATGAAAAGGTAACCAAATTAGAGAAGACTTACTAGTGCAAGGCATGTTAATTGCCAGGTGAATGGAATAGGCCAATTGCAGCAGAGTTTGCAGGTTGGGAGTTCCAGTATGAGATTATGAGCAGCTCGTATACATGAACTGGATCTTTAAGGTCTGCTAGGCATTAGATAGTCTAGGAGAGAAGCCCTCTGTTCTCAGGCTGGGAGATGTGAAGGCCCTGGGCCGAGGCACTGGGAAGCCAGGGCTTGCTCTCAGGAGTGGTAGGAGAGGAGCTTGGAGAGAAGGGGAGGGGCCCAATTCTCATCACCGCCACCTGCGCCCCTCACTGATGGGATCCAGCCACATCACCCTGTGGCCAGTCTGTGAGTAGGTCCTCTTTGCCTCAGAAACATGGCTAGATCTTCCTATACACAGGTGGGACCTCTTGGGAACAGAAGTGTCAGCAACCATGAGTCTGTCGTGAGAGAAGAGGTCTTACCTCCTTCTCAGCCTGTCCTCGTACATTCCTTTCTCTTGTCTCCAGCCAACATCAACTCTTGTGCGTCAGAACCAGACATGTTTTCTTTCTTCCTGGCTCCTCCCTTTGGCTGACCTGGGCCCGCAGACACCCCAGAGGGGACAGGGGTGCCTCTGCTGCCATTGCCAGCATGTCTTCTCTCCTCCTGTCTTTCCTCCTGTCCTTGGCACACCTGGGCACTGGGTATGTCGTGCAGCGTTGCGCAGACCCAGCTTTCAAGAACTGTGCTTGCGGCGGGAGCAGAGCCACTCTCTCCCAAGGGCGCTGTCCTTTCTGTTGAGCCTATTCAAGATGGAAGCTGCTCTCCCAGCTGAGGACCGGCTGCTGTGTGTGTCTGCGTCATCCTGCCTTTCTTTCCTCCAAGGCGCCGCTCAGCCAGATACTGGGCAGGAGCGTTGTACAAAGGAAACACAAACCAAAGGTTTGTCACGTCCGCGTTCTGACAGGTGTAACTAGAAGCACGATGTTTACCATATCTCCAATGCTGTGAGTTTTCATGTTTTTTAAAGACTAATTGTGAGCCCTGCTGAAAGGTTTGTGTAGGAAGGAACACTTCTTTTTTTTCTTTTCATTTTAAACACCAGCACTAGTTGGCATGACAACCCGCACTATTAAAAGTAAAACAACAAGCACCGCTTCATCTGTTTTTTAGAATGAACCCAAGCTGCTAAGGGGGTTTGTTTCTCGAATTTGACTATTCATGGCTCCATTTTGACAGAATATTATGGGGTCCCGTTTGAAGGTTGTATATGTCCCCCCTACGTAGGCATGGCAGCTTCAAAGACAGAGACAGTATTTTTATCTTTCCTGTGGCACTCATATTCATTTGTTTATGGTA